AGAGAGAGAGAGAGAGAGAGAGAGAATCCAAAGCAGGCTCCAAGGTGTGAACTGTCAGCACAGAGCCTGAACCGGGGCTCGAACTCAAGAACCGGGAGATCATGACCTGAGCCAAACCAAGAGTCACACACTTAACTGAGCCACCCAGGCACACCACAACTTCAAAATTCTTAAAGCAAAATTGAAGGAACTGCAAAGAGTAATTGACATGTTCACACTTAACAGTCAGAATTTTCAACATCCCTTTTCAATAATTGAGTAGAAAGAAAACCAATAGGATATGGGTGGCTTGAACAGCAATGTTGAACAAATTATTCTGAACATTTAGTGAATGCCCCACCCAACAATAGCAGAATACACATTATTTTGAAATGAGAACAAGTCTCAATAAATTTAAAAGGATTCTGGTGAGACCAGGTATGTTCCTTGACCATGGTGGAGAATTAATTTGGAAACCAGTAACAGAACATAGCTAGGAAACCTCTAAATATGAGGAAACCAACAAGCTTCTAATTTATCCTTCTTATAAAGAAATGATCAAATGGGAAATTGCAAAGTATTGTGAACTGAATGATATTTAGAACACATATCAAAATTTGGGATGCTACCAAAGAGGAAAATAAAGAGAAATTCATAACATTAGTTATCTTAGAAAAAAGGAAAGGTCTCAATTCAATGACTGGCTTCTACTTTAAGAAACTAGAAGAAAAAGAGCAAATTAAAGACATAGTAATTGGAAGAAGGTAAATAATAAAGGGTGGAAATTAACAAAATTGAAAATAGAAAAACCATAGAAAGATAAACCTAGTTTTTAGAAGATCAAAGTGACAAATCTACCCAGAATGACCAGGTTAAAAAGAGCAAAGGGCACAGAGTACCAATGTCAGTAATAGGAGAGGTGCCATCACTTCAGATGTTAAAGATATTGAAAAGATAATAAATACTATAAAAAGAAATACCATACTATAAAGAAACTTTATACCAATAAATTCAACAAGTTAGATGAAATGGACATTTCTTAAAAGGTGCACAAAATATCAAAACTCACGAAAAAAATAGATAACATGAATAGTACTGTATCTGTAAAATAAATTCAACTGGTTATAAAAACCTTCCCTCGGAGAAAACCTCAGGTCCAGATGGATTCATCGGTAAATTATACCAAACTGATTTTGCTGAAAGTATTCCAGAATATTGAAGATGAGAGAATTCTTTCCAACTCCTTATATGAAGCCAGCATTACTCTGGCTTACCAAAGCCAGACAAAAATTTACGAGTACTACAGTCCAATAATTCTTGCAAACATGTATGTAAAAATTCTTAAAATTTTAGTAAATAGAATTTAACAATATATGAAAAGGACAGTGCATCATCACTCAGGTGGGGTCTATTCCAGAAATGCAGTGTTGATTTAACAGTCAAAGATGAATCAACACAGTTCACCAGATTAACAGACTAATGTGGAAAGATTATGATCTCAGTAGATGCAGAACAAAAAAAAGATTTGAGAAAATTCAACACACTTTTAAAAACTCTTTACAAATGGAATAGCAGAAACTTTGTTAACACGCTAAAAGGCATCTTCAGTGAAACCCTACAACTAATAGTGTGCTTAATGGTGAAGGACTGAATGCTGCTGTCACTGCACTGAATGGTCTACGCAGTGAGGTGAGGCCAGAAAAAGAACTGAAAGGCATCCATATCAGAAAGCAACCAAGTTGTCTTTATTAGTAAATGACATGATTGTTCATCTAGAAAAGCCTATGGAATTTACAAAAGAACATCCAGATAAGTGAGTTTAACAATTTCCAGGGTATAACACAAATATACAAAAATCATGTTCCCATTTTTGTAGAGAAGACTATCCATCGTTGAAAAGAGACCAGAAGAGATAGGTTCCTTAATCTATCCCTTTCCCCAGTTGACATTTTCTAACTTTCTGCAAGTGTTTACTTTTGTGGCAAAGACAGCAACAGAAGTCATTCTTTTAGAAAGATCTTTTTCATTCACACTATGTAAATGTAATTTAGTTTAACAGTTTTAGTAAATATCACTACTTCAACCTTTTACACTGAAAATGTGTAGGATAATATATATTCATTTTATGTTTCTGACGGGCCTACCATTTTAGGTCATCAGCTCTGCCACACTTCTTGTCTCAATATAACAAAGGCATTGTGATCATAATCATTATTCATTTTTTCTCACATTTATTGAGTGTCTCCTATGTACCAGGTATTAGGGAGTTTTGAGATGAGGAAGACCCACAGTCTCTTGAGGCTTCCGTCCTCTTCATCCTCAGCTCTTCGTGATAGTTTTCTCTCTTGCCTTGTTGTGTTTAAGCTTTTCTAGACTTCTTTTAGTTCTTGGAACTTGGGACACCGCCCGTCCATGGCCCTCACACAGGCCCTTTCTTTTGTCAGGGATACTCTCTTACCCCACCCTTAACCAACTCCTTGGTCTTTATTTGGTTCTTAGTTTAAATGTCATTCCTCGGGGAAACTTTCCCTGATCTGCCCAGCAGGGTTATAGACTCTACTAGCACCTTGTACTTTTTCTTAACAGAATTATCATCATTGTATTTAATACTTTGAGTAATCAGACTGGAATCTTGTTGCATGGTAATATTTCGTCACAAGTATGTTCTTCTGGGTTGTTCTTCAGAGCTGGGCTTCAATATGTGTTGAGCTTTTAAGTCTGTTGGTTTATCTTAAGACAAATCAGCTTGGCCTCTGGCTAGATTAGGAGAGCAGTCTGTGGCCATAGGGTTAGATGGAGCAGATCTGATTTTTAATTCTGTACGTCAGATACAACTCTTGGAATTTCAGGTAACACAGGAAGAAGGACAACAGTTAGCACGACAGCTTAAGGTAACATACATGGAGGCGTCAGCAAAGATTAGGATGAATGTAGATCAAGCTTTCCATGAACTTGTCCGGGTTATAAGGTAAGTGAAACACATCTATGATGTGTTTGTTTGTTTTAACTTATAGAATTTTACAGGTAACCACACTGCTTTTTAAAACCACCAAGTAAAGAAATTACCATTAAATGTTTTTAGCAAGAAACAGGAAATTATATGTATAAATGCTTCTGTGCACATGACAGGTTAAAAATTTTAATTAAGTACATATTGTATACTAGGAACTTGCTACATATAAAGCCAGATTTAATTATATTGAAGTAGAGAGTACACACAGGGATTTAAAAAAAATTGCACACACAACCTACACCACTTCCAGTGGTATCACTGGTACGAAGGTAGGGATGACAACAGCTAACGTTTGACTGGAGATCTCTGCCAGATACTGTGTCTGATGCTTTACATGTGTTACCACATTTAAATTTCACCACGACCCAGTAAGCGAAGTACTTTCATTTATCCCCACTTTTGGATGGGAGAGCAGGTATAGAGAGGTTAGCTAACTTGTTCAGAGTTTCAGCTTTAAATGGCAGGGCTGGGACTTGAATCTGTGTCTCTGATTCCAGAGCCTGTGTTCTTAGGCTTTGCTTTTTCCCCACCTCCTGCCAGGCTGTGGGAGCCAGGTAGTAGAGATGCCGTGCTCCAGGTGCTCCCATTCGTGGTGTGAAGTATGATATCCCTCATAACAAAGGATTTTTCTGTTCTGCTGGCCTAGAAGGCCCCTGTGCTTCAGAAAGTGTTAATGGTTCCAGGAAGCTTGAGGTGAAGGGCAGGTGGCCTGGAGTTAGTTTCTGTGTGAGAAAGATTGAGTTTCCGTATAGTGGGAGGGGTTTGATTTGATTATTTTTAATCTTGGTGGCTTGGCGCCTCCTTCCCCGTGGGCTCTCTCTAGATCTGCGGGTCTCTCTGCTTGGCAGAAACGTGGAGCTATGGGCTTCCTGTACTTTTTTTAACCCCTTGCCTGGGCATTCTCTTTGTGGGGAAAGGAAAGTAAAGATTATAGTTTTTAATTTTTTTAGTGGTTTGTTAAAAGTGCAAGTTCCATTATTTGAATGAAAACAGAGTTTCAGTTTTGCAAGATGTAAACAGTTATGGAGGTGGATGGTGGTAGTAGTAACACTGTGAATATATTTAACACCACTGGACTGTATGCTTAAGAATGGTTAAGATGTCAAGTTCTGTTATGTATTTTAACACGTGTGCATGCACACACAAACCGATACCTTCTTAAAATAACATTTACTGCCTTTTGAATGCTTTGTCCTTGGTTTTGATCCTCAGAATCTATATCCAAATCCATCATTTAATCTGGAGAAGTGGGTAGAGGCGGCAATTAACAAAATTACTTTAATTTTACTTGTATTTTATGTAGGCTTCACAGCCAACAGGGGCTTGAACTCATGATCCTGAGATCAAGAGTTACATGCTTTCCTCACTGAGCTAGCCAGTGCCCCTAGGGAAGGCTTTTTTATGCCAGCCACTGATAGGCCTTTAAATGTAACAAGATCACGTTTAAACCTCTAGCAACTGTGAAAGGTAGAGTTTTATTATTCTCTTCGAAAAAACCGAGGTTCACAGAGGTCAGCTAACTTGTCCAATGCTGACTTGTAGCTAGTAAGTGGCAAAACAGGAATAGAAACTGTGTACCTTGTATGGGTATGTACTTTATATTTTACTCTAGCAATGGTTGCTTTTTTTTTTTTTAATGTTTATTTTGGGAGAGAGAGTGCTAGCAGGGGAGAGGGGCAGGACGAGGCAGAATGAATCCTAAGCGGACTTGATGTAGGGCTCCATCTCAGACTGGGAGATCATGATCTGAGGCTAAACCAAGAGTAAGATGCTTGACTCACTGAACCACCCAAGTGCCCCTGGATGTCTGTTCTTAAGTATACCTTACTGTTAATGGAGTTACAAAGTGGGAAGGGAACTTAGAGGTCATTGAGTTCAGTATCTCATCTGATTCCAGACTCACCTATGAGTGGAGCTCAGATAGCTCTGCTTTATGCTGGTGTTGAAACACTTGTGCCTCTTCCCCCGAGATTTGCTTCGATTCCCTAGGTGAAATTCAACATTGAGAAGCATATGCACATAAACTAGACTTGTCCAAAAAGAATATATTTGTAATAATATGTTACCAGCAGGGTAGATTTTGATATAGATTTTTCTGTCTTACAGGAAATTTCAAGAGCAGGAATGTCCTCCTTCACCAGAACCAACACGGAAAGAAAAAGACAAGAAAGGCTGCCATTGTGTCATTTTCTAAGAATCCCTTGAATTTTAGCTACCAACTGCCAGGAAAAGCCCTCATCGTCTCCTCCTCTCCTTATGGTTTACATCACAT